GGATAGGTGTTTTGGTGTACAACAAAGCTTGAGTTCTTGTGGTAGTTGCACCTGCAGTCCCCGGGGCGGCTGTGTTGAGCTCTAATCATATCCTCTTGTGTCCGGGCAGCAATTATTTAAACGAGTTCAGAACGTTCCTTAGTGTAGACCAAGTCAAACGACAACGAGTGAGTTGCCTATTGACTTTGAAAATTCAAAAATCTAAAGCACAAATCAACCCTAACCCTAACCCCCACATTGACTGAAGAACCAATACCCTCTCCCTTAATGATGGACCGCGCAACATCAAAATCTCTGCCAGCACCTCCCGGATCGCAAAGAAACCTAAATGCCACTCTCTTCTTATTTCCAAACACTAACTTGCAAGAACACCTGCCGACGAAGAAATATTTGCTGTATGCGCCACCTCTGAAGAAGTCAAACACGCCAATTATCATTGCACAAGGAGTATCTGACACAACACTTGCCGCCGCTAACTTCATCAACCATTGAAACAACATGATCAAAATTTCTCAGGACACACTCTTGGAAGCACAGGATCGACAAGTGAAATACACCAATCAACATCGCCGCCATTTGGAATTCAAAGTTGAAGACAAGGTTTTGCTCTCTACTAAAAATATTAACAATCCTATAGATAAAAATCACCCTACAAGAAAACTCTCTCCAAGGTTTATCAGACCTTACACTATTGCTGAAGTTATCTCTACCACCGCGTACAAGCTAAACTTACCACCTGCTTTGAGGATCTACCTAGTCTTCCATGTGTCTTTGCTGAAATCCTATGAGGAAACACCTATGGATTTTGAGCGAACAACTCCACCTCCATTAATATTTATACCTAAAACTAACACTGAGGAATACAAAGTGGAACCCATCTTGAACAAAAGGATTATCCGAAGGAAACCACAATACTTGATTAAATGGATGGGATATCCATTACACGATGCAACTTGGGAACCTGTGGAAAATCTTACCAATGCCAGCGAAAAAGTCAAGGAATTTGAGTCGACGAGGACGTCTTCTCTTAAGGAGGGGAGAATGTAACAATTTTTCTGCTTTTAC